TAGTCCAAGATTTGAAACCGCCGACATTCTGCTTACAAGAAACCTATCTTAAGCAGACGGATAATTTTAACTTACTTAATTTCAACGTCTATCACTATTTTTCTCCTCCGGGTGATAGCGTCACTGGATGATTATTCAATGATTGTGAGGAGAGATGTTGTTTTCAGCCCATTTAACACTGAAAACAAATCTCAACGCCGTTACTCTGTGGTCTTTGTAAATTCCGGCTTCATTAACTCCTGATTTGTCGATTACAGAGTCAAGCCTAGGAAATGAATTTGAATGGTCAGGCCAGGACGACCTCTCCGGAAGAGACCATTTTCTTACAATTCTAAAACCTGCGACCCCATCTGATGTTCCTCCATCATGAAGACGGAATTTAAAAAATGCTACAGTAACTGAGCTTAATATAAATCTATATGTAGTGACAACCTTAAACCTGAATTTTTTATTGATGTTCCTTGGCAATAAACTGTTTATTGTCTGACGAACTACATCACATGACATAGCTGGCGAGACACTAAGTCATCTGCAATTCCTCACTTACGAACACCATGGTTTAACTATGGCTGCAAACAAGCTAGGAAGGCGAGGAAAAAGGCTAAGTAGCATTTCCGTTGCCACCCTATGATCCACAATTTAAATAAATTCAAGATTCTAAAGGCTAAAGCACGACGTACATTTAAAAAGTAAACCACAATATTGGCGAAACTGTCTATCCAAAATCAGTTCACGTACGCCGATGTATGCAGTGTGGAATATGATCCAGAAAATCAAATGTGAGGGTTCTAAATTTAATATTTACCATCTATCTAAAAACGAGGGGTAGCCCAGTGGTTAAAGCGTTACCTCGTCGAGCCGAAGGCCCGAGTTCTGTTCCCCATATGGGTACAATGTGTGAAGTCTAATTCAGGTGTTCCCCGCCGTGATATTGCTGGAATACTGCAAAAAGCAAAACCTATCTCTGTCAGTCAGTCGTTTACTCACACTCTCAAAAACGAGGACCAGTTATTAACAAACAAACAGTTTTGCCAAACATTCTTCCTCTTTCAGTTATGTACCTCAAAAGAATATAACACAGTAAGAAAAGAATTTCAATTCGGCAATGGGGAAGATTTCCATCAAATATGTTCTAGTCAGGAGCTGCATACTTCTCTCAACAATCTCACGCTGCTGCTTCAGGAGCTGTTAACATAACCTTATCAACTCTTATAACCCTTACCAGAATCATCTTTGCAGTCTCTTTTATAAATGTGGATGACATTTGGACTTCTGGAAAGTTCCCTTCTTCATACCGTGAGGCAATAATTGTCCCAATACCTAAACCTGGACGTGATCATGCCGATCCTTCAAATTCTCGACCACCTTCATTATGACTGCGTTTGTAAAACCATGGAGCGCATATTGAATAATAGACTAGCTTGGTACTAACAAACAAATATCTTGTTTTTCTACAATGTGGTCCCCGTGGTCCCCATGAAACAGAAGTACCATCGATCATTATTAAGTAAGCTTGGAATCATTTGTCAAAATGCTATAATTAATAAACAAGACGAAGTGTCTATATTTTTCGATCTAGAAAAAGCATATGACACACTGCGTGTAATTACAGTGTTTTAAAAGATTTACAAGACTTTGGATTGCGAGGCCTTTTGCTTCAATGTATATCAAAGTGTTTTCCTGACAGGCAATGTCAGGTCCACATGGGTTCTATGCTGCCATTACAATCAGGATCAGAGGATCGCAATATTTTGTCTGTCACATTGTACAGTTTAGCAACTGTGTTAAACGGCTCCATCATTTATAACCGATGACATGTGTCAACCAAGTCAGCGAGCCTGACCACCCGATCCCGTTAGTCGCCTCTTACGACAAGCATAGTCGCCTCTTACGACAAGCATGGGTTACTGAAGACCAATTCTAACCCGGGACCTTCACGGTTTCAAATCCGGTGGCAAAATGAAATAAAAAATATCTTGAAAATATAGCCCCTACTCAACATTTCTCTAGAGTTGCGGAAATCTGAAAGAAATCAAATTATTCACCAACAACAAAATATTGATTTACGAAACACTAATGATACTTACAAATCTATCTTCCCAGACCGGTGGATCCAAGTATGGTGGTTCAGTTGTCAGTTTACATTTACTGGATCCAGATTACCAGATGGCAAGTCCATTTGCAGAGCAGAAGTAAATGCCATATTTACTGTTCTTAAATATAATTTATATCAATAAACAGTCCAAACATAAGCAAATCACAATACTTTAGACTCATGTTTATGGCTTCAATCTATTAAAACGTACATATCCTGTAAACATTCACATTTAGTCGAAATAATTGAATTCAATAATGATCTTGCTATTGGCCTGTAAGACATAGTCCTTTGTTGCATGGTTACCTAGCTACATGAGAATCATCAAAAACACAATGGCTGATGCTTCTGCATAGTCAGCACTCAACAAATACGTGACACCACTTCTTATCTCATACTCCGATTATAAACCTGTGATTAAAACCTTACATTCCTGTTCCAACGCAAAGTAAGTACAAATAAATTACATGAAACGAAACTAACAATCAGTTATACTTACTTGAGTTGTCTGTCCAGATTTTATCGTCATTATTTGACGATGTCGTTTTGGCTATTCCATATATACACATGAATATTTATTGAAAATAAATATGCATCGTCATTTTTATAGAAAAATCAACACAGTTAAGCAGGTCATGCTAGACCGTGATTCTTACACCACAAGGCGTATAAGAGAGATAATTCCCATTTGGTATTAGAAATAGAATTACGTCATTCATTTGAAGTTTGGTAGGCAATGATTATATACTGAAACTGGTCATAGCTGTGCTGTGCCCTTTGCAGGGTTTTGTCAAGTATTGTAAATGTCTGTTCTCCCTGGGGTATTGCAAGCCCATAACATTCAAAGAATATTATATCTCTCTCTTCTTAGACACATAATACGTTTTATTCTTAACTCTCGCCAATGGAGGGATCAGCACGGTCCATGCGGGTAGCAAAACTACTGAAAATCCCCATGGTCCCTAATGTGGCGCTCTAACTTCAATTGCTGGCAATCTATAGCTCAAGTTTCTACTGTATTTTCTCTGAGAGGCATTTTAGAAGTTGTATAGATGAAGGAAAACCAAATTCTATGGATAGTCAATTTCTTTACTGCAATGAGTGCGACGTTTCGGTGTAGGTACTAACACCGTTATCAAGCAAGTTTTAATCACTTGCTAACGGTGTTAGTACCTACACCGAAACTGGGTTCGGTATCCCGGCTGCTTCTTTTCTTGGGAAGTAAACCCAAGTACAAAATATTGCACTTTTGATTTGCGATTGTACGCTTATAATTTTGTTTATGTGTCTTTTCATAACCAGCAATGTATATTATATGTCATGAATAAGTGATAATTGTGTTTTAATTATGTTTGATTTTTGGTTGCATGTGACCTTTAACATCAGTCAGCATTAATACAGTTGTAGGGGCGGTGCGGTAGCCTAGTGGTTAAAGCGTTCGCTTGTCACGCCGAAGACCCGGGTTCGATTCTCCGCATGGGTACAATGTGTGAAGCCCATTTCTGGTTGCCCCCGCCCTGATATTGCTGGAAAAAGCTAAGAGCGGCGTAAAACCATACTCACTCACTACAGTTGCAACAGGGTGATGCTATTACAAGCACTGGCCAGACAAATATAACTATAGAAAGGGGTTGAATTTGGAATTAAAGTGGTTTTGACTTTTGTCAACTTGCTGTCTCGTCAGTCATTATCAGTCTTAAATAAACTGTAGCACCTTAACCCACTCCAGTTTGTCGTGTTTGGCACTTCGGTCATATAAGTAGAAACCCGTGGAGGCGTTATGTTTCATATGAAATCTGTTGAATCAGAGCCAATTTTCCGACTATACCATCGGTGATTTGAATTTTGCAACAACTTAAGAGGAAAATTTGTAATATGCTTTCAATTCTTCGTAGAAAGATTGTACCCATAATGTTGGGAAATTTAGAAACCCAAGTTCGGTGTGCTTAATGTTCATATAAATACAAACCAGGAAAATATTCAGGCTATGTTTATCTACTACTGCTGTGAAACTGAACAGCACTAGCATGGAACTCCAGTCTTAAGTCCACGATCAGCAGATCCTGGTTCGATTAAGAGACAATTCAGCAAATTAACTGCAGAGTATTTGACAACATTTGAGATTTCCAGTTTGTAAAAACAACAAAATATCCTATATAGTGACAACTTTATTGATGAGATTCAACATAACAGAAAACGACGAAAAACAGCAATGTACTATGTACACAATCGGGTGACGCTGTCAAATTACAGATACTGAATATACAATCCTATGTATCGAGGATGGGTTGGGGTGTAGGAAGAGTGGGGTGGAGGAAGGGCGGGGACTGAAATCAACACAGTGGAACATGGAACATGGAAAAGAATATGAAAAAGTTTGTACATTTTGTACATCTTTGTGTACACAGCGTTTGGGGGAGTCTCAGCACATCTCTTGTGCTTGCTGTACAATGTTCCGGGCTAAACAGGGGCGGAAGGGTAGCCTAGTGGTTAAAGCGTTCCCTCGTCACGCCGAAGACCCGGGTTCGATTCCCCACATGGGTACAATGCGTGAAGCCCATTCCTGGTGTCCCCCGCCGTGATATTGCTGGAATATTGCAAAAAAAAAAGCGGCGTAAAATCAAACTCACTCACTCCTGGCTTAACAATGACCATTGCTGGTACAGGTTTTAATCTTTCATTAAACATTTGCATACCTCCCAAATATGACACGTATGTATGCCGAGTTGCCTTGTTTAACCCACGTATGACACGCTATGTGCGTTTTGTGAATGTACTTCCTTATACTGTCAGTAGAATGTATACATCCAGAGCAGCATGGCTCAACTACATCTGTATATATCCATCCTCCTGACTGGCAAAATCAATTCCTATCTCACATGGAGATGCTTTCCCAGACATCTAAATACACCAAAACGTATACTTGAATTCCAAACCTGACAAAATATACAAGTTTTTTTTAGAATGTCACTCCATTCTCCTGACAGGCAAAATCAATTACATTCTCAAATGTAGACCATTTGCCAGATATCTAATACACCAAAGCCTATGTGCATTTGATTTACCAAACCTGACAAAATATATAATGTTTTTTAGAATGTCACTTGACTGAATACATCCAGGGTAGCATGGCTCAACCACACCTGTATATATCCACCCTCCTCACAGCCCGAAAGAGACAGTGATTAGTAACAGTAAACCTACATAAATGTACCTGACACATAGATCAGATATTATTTGGTAATGTAACCCTGAAACAGATAGAGATTTAACACGTTTTTCCCATTGTATTCAAGAAAGACTGCTTTAGGGTACTGCCAAAATGTAATGTGTTTCATGTTCCAGGGACACTGACTTTTTGAAATCACAGAGTTACACTGAGATCAATGAATGTACTGATGACTGACAGTTTTTTAAAACACCCCGGTCAGTGTTCTGTATCATGTAGGACCTGGAGAGATCCTGACATCTTTCTGGAGGGATGACATGATGCCTGTTGGATAAAGATACATGAGTTTAAAGTCTGTAACATTGACGAATGAATAACAAATGTAAGCGTGGTGACTACTGTATTCATTTACATGTAACACGATGCCGACATCATGAAGTGGCTACGATTTGTCTTCCTTCAAATGCCTTCTAAGTCTTGAGTACACAATCTATTTTAGCTGCCTGGTGGATGTTCAGGTGGAAGATAGCTAGCGCATGTGCATGTGTATCTGTTTTATTTTAAATATACCAGCATATTGCTCAGATCTAAGTTTCAACTACTTACCGTAGACAACATGCAGATCCTGATGGTGAGACAGGTGAGTTTGATATTACAGGTGTAGCAGGTGGGAGACAGGTAAGATCAGGTGGGAGATAGCTAGAGTACTGTCGGGAATAGATAAAAAACCAGGGTTAATTAAGTTTATGCCAAAATGATAACATGCGCTGGAATATCTTCATACAAAGCAAGGGTTCTACCCAGTACACCATAGATGATAAAATTTGGGTTAGATTTACGAAGTCCAGCCGTCATTTTAAGAAATTTGAAATGTAGACTGCATTTCAATCACTCTTAAATTTTCGTATCCCCAAATTTCTGAACCATACGTTAAAATCGGTAGAATCATCGTATCAAAAGCAGATAAGAGACAGTCAAGTGGAAAATTTATATTGCGTGATCTCTTAAAGCTGTAGATAGCCTGTGTTGCGTCATTCTCTTCCCACAGAGGTTACTTGCCATATCGTCCTACGAACCTCTGTTCTAATACGGCCATATTTCCCGGTTCTCGTACAATCCCCTAGCGGCAAAAGATCGCAACACGAATTACCTCCCTTCTTTCTATCCAATCAGAACACGTGTTACATCGACTTAGATTCAACTTGACTAACACAAGCAAATGTGGGGTCACAAATATCCCCCATCTGCCGGGGACTTGTGTTGATGTTACACACAAGACGTTTAATGGCTAGCTTGTCCGTTGTCAACGAGGGCGATGGAGACGCCACTGATCCGCCATAACATGACTGAGTTCTGTCTAGAAGAAACGTTTGCGCATCGCGCAGGGGAAGAAGTTTAGTTTTCTTGAAGCATACGGAAATTACCGAGACCTTGCGAATGATCACTTTTGAAACAACGTCGCTGATTGCACAACTAAATCTGATTGCCTCCAATCAAGAGTCTTGAAGGCTCACACCATGAAAGGGCCGTATCAGAACAGAGGTTACGTAGGAAGATATAACAGGAGTAACCTCTGTGGGAAGAGAATGGTGTTGGGTTTGCAACAATGGATTCAATATATGTAACCTTCCTTGTACTTCGATGAAGTTTTTACGATGGCTGATTTAAGCTTTTCTATGGGTATCATACGCATTTACATATCTCAACAAACTTTATGAAATATAGACACGTAAGATGTTAATCAATGAGACATATTCATCACACATGAAAAAAGCATTAACATATCTTTGGGATGACCCCTTGTGCCTATAGGCAGATCATGCATTTCATACCAGGTGAGTCGACGGTCCGTCGTCATAGCTGGTTGAGGGACCTAATTGCCATCTATACTCGATCTATTGTTTACAGCAACTATTCGTATTTTTTCTAAGTTTTGTCGGATTTTATGAGTAAACATGATTTTCTGCATATCCTATTACGCATCCCACTGAACGCCCAGTTAGACCGATGTGGGATATTTCCACATATGCTATTTGCAGTTATTACAGAGTAACAGACTAAAAACATTTTTTCTCCTATTTCCGTCAGTACTTTAGATTGTTAATTAGGGTAACACCTACAGGTACAATTGAACAGTCCACTGTCTTGTGAACAGGGCAGAGTGAGCCTGAAACAGGTTCGTTACTGAGAAGTTTGATTATGTGTATCTTGAACTTTGTTGTGATTAAATGATATCAGTCTTCTCTTCTAGAAATTGTTTTGCCATGTAAGATGAGATTAATAGCAATCAGTGTTCTATATCTAACGATATTTTCTAAAGACTTTAACAGTTCATGTCTTTGAATAGTATACAATAGACTTTCAAAGAAGTAATGAATAACATTCTCACATCCATGGCCACACTGACATGATGCGTCATTTTTTACATTTATTCTAAATATACCATAATTAAGTGTATTCTTGTGTGCAAAACATTTTACATCCTTATTCCATATGAATAATATTTAGTTACACACTTGTCTTTCACGTGGATATAAGATTTAAATGATGCAACAGAGTCGCAAGTTATAATAGCTAAGGGAATATTTTTTACATTCTAACTGCTGATGGAATAAGAGATGACGTTGAGTGCCTCAGTCTTGAACATGGTTGGCTAAATCATCGGAGATTCGTAACTCATAACTTCTCCGGTTGCCTACTAAATGTGGGAGTAAATGCTGAAGAAAGCTGGGCAAGACCTTCTTGAAATATATAGAATAATATTAAACGCCTCTTCTCTCACAATGTGTATGTATATCAGTGTTTTATTTAAAATATACAAAATAATTGCTCAGATCGAAGTTTAAATTACTTACCATAGACAACATGCATATGCTGATGGTGAGCTTGACGTTACAGGTGTAGCAGGTGGGAAGACAGGTGTGATCTACTGCTGTAGCAATGGTACCTGTACAAGGGATGAGAATCACATATACCTGGGCCGACTAACAAATATGCAAACAGTGAGAAAAACATGAATGACAGTGTATATTCCTTATGATATTAAATGTAAGTAGCGCCCAACAAACAGATTCTGCGGGTATTTGAATTATTATGAAGAGCATGTATGAATGGCTTTGCCTGCAAATTTGTGCAATCTCTGTACCAAAGGCAGAAGATGCTTGGATAGTGTCCGATATAAAGGGAAAGTTGACTATTTGAAAGATGAAGTCATTCTTCTTGTCAGAAGTCTGGGACAGGTTTATGAATATATATGAATCGAAATATAGAACACCCGAGGCTGTTTCAAAGTTCACCTTTCCAGTGGTAGACTATAGGCAATTTGATCGGGTTTTGTAGATAAGATGATGGGGGCGGTGGGGTAGCCTAGTGGTTAAAGCGTCCGCTCGTCACGCCGAAGACCCGGGTTCGATTCCCCACATGGGCACAATGTGTTAAGCCCATTTCTGGTGTCCCCCGCCGTGATATTGCTGGAATATTACTGAAAGCGGCGTAAAACTAAACTCAGTCAGTCAGATAAGATGATGGAAAGAATTGTAAATTTGGGAACAAATACCTAAACAGAAAAGGAAACTACAATTTCGAAACATTATTGCATGTATTGCTTGAAATTCACCTTCTGGAGACATCCATGCTAGAGATCTGCTGTTTGACATAATCTGGCTGAGTCACATGACTAGGTCCATGTTTGTTGTCGTCACAGATATGGACGTAGATATTAGTGGTTGGCAGACATCGGGAAGTCTGTCAAAGTGGTTGGCCAAGATCTGGATTTGAACCATCTCTGGTGGTTGATGCCTTAGACTTTGTCCATTTTGGTAGATTGGGGACTGTTTCGCATATTGCATTCCTTGAGACAGTATTTGACATAAGTGGATCCGAGAGGTAAGATGAACAAAGCACTTCGTGATACCAGACATATGACCACACATGATTAGGAACATACTTCATCATCTATTTCCAGCATCAAGGATAAGTAAAATACTACGATAAACCGAGCAACATAATACAGTTCAAAATGTAACCGAAATATCGGTATGATCTGACATTCTAATTGCAATGGTATTGAATCTCCTGTTGGCAGTTGCCTTTAAAACTGCTCACCAAATACAACCAGCCGAGAAGATGCTTACGGATACCATCGAGTCATCGTTCAACTAAAAGGTGTTAGCGGGGATTTCATGTAGGAGTGTGAGCCATGAAACATGAAACACCCCTCAACAACTCAAAGCTGCCCGGTCGTCAGTAGGTACACGATACACCATCAAAGAGTTGGGCGATTTGGTTGAACAAATAATCCTAAAGAGTCCTCTTGGTTATGAAAACAGAAGTGGAGATTGGGCTCACATCTTAATCGGATACTGTGATCGTGGAAATCATTATATAATAGTATATGAAGTGGTATGGATCCCTGCACATGGTGCGGTGTAAATGGTAGAGGTAAAGAAGCTTTGGACTCTCAATGCACCTGGGGAGAAAACGATAACATTTTGTTAGGACTAGAATAATTATAAAGCTCTTCTTAAAGATGATGGAAACTTGTTTTGATATTCGTCTGAGAATTGAAAATTGAAGCCATCCTTCTTGCATACACTCTGGTATAGGTTTTTGAATATATACACACGAATCAAATACGAAATATCCGAGGCTGATTCAGATTGCGAGATAGTTTCTAAATTTTGCTAGCTAGTCGGGCTACCTATGCCTGAAAGTTACTTGCCCACAAAATAATTCACTAGCACGAAATTTAATTGTAGACACAGGTTTCATCATTAAGCTGCTAATATGATGAACATTAAACGTGCATTACGACTGAACAAGTCGGAGAGAGATATATTAACAAAATGACCATATGAAAATTCACTAGCCAATCGGGTCAGTGACTCTGGAGAGTTACTGGCCCGACAGGATTTTTACTAGCAACGGGCTAGCGCGCCATTGGCTATTTCGCATAGTGGGCTGATTCAATGATTGCTCTTTCATTGGTAGGGTATAGGCCATTTGGCAGGGTCATTTGTAGATTAGATCATGAAATGAATGCTCACCTTCGAGAATCAGACATCCATGCTTGAGACCTGATGTTTGACAGCATCTGGCCGAGTTACAGGACTATGTCCATGTTTGTAGTCCTCTAAGGTCTGCACGTACACCTTAGCCTTTGGCAGATATCGGAATGAGTGTCTCAGTGATTGGCCGAGATCTGGAGTTTCATCACGCAGTGAGTGAGGCATCTCTGGCCGATATCCTAGACACTGTCAATTTTGGTAGGCCCAGGGCTGTGTGGTCCACTTATTGCATCTGATGGGACAGTGTTCGACAGACGTGGATCCGATAAGACAGGTAAAATAAGCAACGCACTTCATGATACCAACCACATGACCGCACATGATTAGGATACTCCATCCTCTACGCTTAGTATACGGATAAGTAAAATACTACATTAAACTGAACCATGATACAGTTCAAATGTAAACGAAATATCAATATGATCTGACATTCTCGTGGCAATGGTATTGAATGTTGACAGTTGTCGTTCAAAGTATTCACCAAATACAGCCAACTTGAGACAATGCGTACGGATACCACCAAGTCATCGTTCAACTAGAAGGTGTTAGCGGGTCTTTCATGTAGGAGTGTGAGCCATGAAACATGAAACACCCCTCAACATCTCAAAGCTGCCCGGTTATCAGTAGGTACACGATACACCATCAACGAGGTCGTTATGTGAAAGGAAGCGGTGATTACTCCAATAAATTCGCATCCTAATTGGATGGCATGATCGTGGGAATTATTATAGAGTATACGAAGCTGTAATATTCCTGCACATGTACGGTGTAAATGGCGGAGGTATTGAAGCTCTGGACTCTCAACACACCTGAGGAGAAAAAAGATAGTATTTTGTTAGGATAAGAATAATTGTTAAGATCTTGTTAGAGATGATAAATTAACTTGTAATGTTCCTTAATGATGGTTTTGATATTCAGAGGGAAATAGTTTTGTGAAAGCGAACCCAAAAAGTGCAAGACAACTGCACAGTCAAATAAAATAATCTGCAGTCAGGAAATGATTCTCAAAAGTTTCGAGTGGTTTGATTGTCATTACTGCGCATACCTGAAGAGGAAACAGGAGGATGCTCGCTTGCAGTCATGGAGGGACTGATGGCAGCATGTGGTTGATTACTGGGATTACTGGGGTGATGGATGCCAACTGAGGATGACAAGTTAGGTGGCTGACGGTAGAAGACTGCTACGGGTGGTGACTGATGATTGACCGAGACACCTAACGTTGTCTATTTCTGTTGTGTGATAATGACATCTGAAGAAAGAAAGGCTCGGTTCAAATGCGGAAGGAGAAACATGTAAGCATTGTTACGTCATAGTCAACATTGTAGTTGTTACTGCATATGTCATATACCAAAAGCGAATGCAAGAGCCCATTAATATCAATTAGTTAAAACATGCATGGCATTCAACTTACACGCCTCTCCCCAACGCCCCCTGGACGACACCGGTCGGTTTCTGTACTCTTTCCCTCCTACAAGGAAACAAGCAATACTTAGACCCTTTCTACGATCCAAGCAGTATGGTTCATTTACCCGTTGGATCCACATGGATTCATAGATTCAGCAACGACATCCACACTTGTGGTACATGAACAAAATACGAGACGTCGTATGGGGATGCTACGGGAAACATTGGCAGAATCATTCTCCAAAGTCAGGTAAGAAATCTCACTAAGGTACTCTGGGGCTAACTGAGAATAAGCGTCAGGACCTCAGCCGTGTCTGAGTGCGAAGCTGAAGACTAATTCAGCTATCGAGAATGCATGCGTCAATGTTAGTGGAAACCAAGCTGCCAGTGGTGTATGATCAACTGGAATAGCATACTCACTGCTGGAAGAGGTTGAGTCGTCACATCCATATTCACCGGTGATGCTGCCGAGTGCTGAGGTTGTTGCTGTGGCCATACTCGTTACGGTTGCCATTGGTGCTGCTATAACAGTTGCCGTTCGAGCTGTCACAGCTGCGGTCAGTGTTGTTTCAGCCTGGAAAAAGAAAGTAAACGTAATGCATAGGGTGACTTACGTACGTTTTAAAATAGTGAACATTCACACACTGTCGATTCAACACTATGAAACAATATGACGAATCAATACCAGACATGTTGTATTTTCAATGATCATTACAACCGTTATTAAATTATATATTGCACTTTCAATGATATTTACACAACCATTACTATACATATAAGCAATTACGTTACAACTGTTTTCGACCAATACTATATACGTCTTATCCTCAGTGATATAACGTATGGTTTGATAATGAAGAAAGTCTTGACTGAGCACACCTGAGGTGAAATATACTTCTTTTCAAAAGTTTAGACTCATTAGTGTAAATATAGCCACTTACTTCAGGCAACTTTCTAAACTGATTTTTTATAAATATTTCACACTGTTTAAAGGTACTGTTTACACATTAATTGATGTATTGTAAAACAAATTCGTAAAGATTATCGTCATAATTAGTGAAAACTCGCGAATTCTGAACAAAACGTTACACCAAAACGCAGCTTTTAACATGTACGATATTTGCACATACGTTGCAGCAATTTGATGCAGGGTCCTCGTGCAATTCATGTGCATAAGGTTTGCAGTTGGTTTCCCCAAGTTAGTGGAAAAATCAATCTTGGATGTCACCATATATATTTACATAACATATAATGAATGTTTGAAGTGAGTCTAAACTCTTGAAAGGAAGTATTCAGAATCACTGTACATAAAGCCTTTGTTAAAGATGAGTTAACTTGTATGTTCCCAAATACATGGTTTTGATATGGGACGCCTAGAGCATTTTTCAACCGTGAATAAAAAATAGTTCAAGGCAGTGCAGCGACCATGGTAAATGATGAAATCATCTGCACTCAGGAAATGTTTCTTAAAAAGTTTTAAATGGTTTGATGATCACAATTGTATACCTGGAGAGCTAGCAGAAGGATGGCGTTGTAGTCAGTGGCCATTGGGGGACTGATGGCAGCGTTAAGGTTGATAACTGGGATTACCGACTGAGAATGCCAATTTCGGGGACTGGCTGAGGAGGCTGGGTGTCGATGACAGCTATAGATGACAACCTGGATGATGGAGACATTGGACCGCTGGCGAGACACAAAGAATGAGACCTCTAACCTTGTCTTTGTCTCATGAAGATCCGTTGTTGTACGGTAATGACATCTGAAGAAAGAAGGTGAAAGCATCTTAAACATCGTAGTCACCATCATAGGTGTTACTTCATATGGTATATACACAATGCAAAGGTGAGAAGCCATTTCTATCAAGGTTAGAAACAAATGGAGTTCAACTTACTGGTCACTCCTCCTCCTAACGCCACCTGGACGACCCCGGCTGGCTTCCGTATTCGGCCCCTTGTCTACAAGGAAACAATTCTTAGACATTATCTCCAGTCCATGGGTCACAGTAACTTTTACCGTTGGATCTACTTAACATGTTGGTGTACTCCCTACTTAACGTGAGCATTTTCAGTTTCATCAGGGGTGTCAGAGTGAGGATAAATGAACGCCTTGAATTTGTTGATCTGCGTCTCCAGGAAACTTACTAAAGACTACTAACACAAGGAACATTTTGACGCTTAACTGAGACTAGTTAAGGCCCAAGCGCGACAATGGTAAGATTGTTTCATCAACAGATTTGAAGATGATTGGTAATTAGGAGTGAATAGTCTTGTGCTGCAGTCAACAAGGTCTATTTTAATTGATAAGATGAGCAACGACCTGCACCCTCGTGGTACACTTACAAAATGGCCGTATGGGCTCTTACAACCAGCATGATCAGTTTGGGAACGTTAAAAACCAGCAATCGTCATTCTCAAAAGTCAGGTAAGATGTCTCACCGAAGTCCTCTTCTCCTCATCGAAAACACGTAGCAGCTCCTCGTAGGGAGTTTCTTGATGCTGTCTTTGCTGCTGCTGCTTCTGTCGGTGCTGCTGTAGCCGCTGCCTCTGGAAACGGGGCTGATGCTGCTGTTGGAGCTGTTGCTGATGCTGCTGCTGCAGGCGGGGCTGCTGCTGTCGGAGTTGTTGCTGTTGTCTGGCATGCTGGTGCTGTCGGTGCTGCTGCTGCAAACGGGGCTGCTGATGCTGCTGTCGGGGCTGCTGCTGCTGTTGTTGTCGGCGCTGTTGGTGAAGCTGAAATCGTTGTTCCTGTTGGTGCTGCTGTTGCCTTTGAAGTTGTTGCCTTACTTCCCTTTGCCTATATCTAGCATGGCGTCTCTGTCTTGCTTCATCAGCTGCCTGAGCCTGAATGAAACAAAGAACACGAAAAGGATTCATGAACGTTTTTTAAAGTTATGAAATGCAATAATGTAGAACTACTTCAATGTACCGATGTGAAATGGGTTCAGAATTCTTTGAGAAGAAAGCCATGTAGAGAAGAATGTCAAGCAGTTCTTCTTGATCAGTTAGAACAGTCATGAAATACTCCGGAGCGAAATAAAATATATAAACGTAAACAGCTGCTAATATGCTTCAGATATATTTGACAGTGCAGAAAACAATTTGCTTCTGGGAACCTAATCTGATGTTGAAGTAGAACTCGTATTGAAGAATAACGTGCGGACGGGCGGACGGACAAGACACTAAATCTGTGTCAAGCGAAACTAAAGACTTTCAGCTATTAAGGATGCATGCCTCTCAATGCGAGTGAACCAAACTCCCAGTGATGACCTCCAATAGCATACTCACT